AAAAAAAAAAAAAAAAAAGAAAAAACTCTTGGGCTTAAACAATTCTCTTGCCTCAGCCCCCAAGTAGGTGGGACTATAGGAGCCCACCAGCTATTTTTCTGTTGCTGTTGTCATTATTTCTGGGTTCAAACCTGCCAACCTCGGTGTATGTGGCCGTCGCCGCAACCACTGTGCTATGGACACTGAGCCTTTTTTTTTTTTTGAGACAGAGTCTCAGGCTGTCACCCTGAGTAGAGTGCTGTGGGATCACAGCTCATAGCAACCTCAAACTGTTGAGCTTAAGCAATTCTTTTGCCTCAGCCTCCCAAGTTGCTGGGACTACAGGTGCCCACCACAATGCCAGGCTATTTTTTTGTTGCAGTTGTCATTGTTGTTTTATCTGGCCTGGGCCGGGTTCTAACCCACCAGCCTTGGTGTATATGGCCTACCCACTGAGCTATGGGTGCTGCCCTACAAAAAAAAATTTTTTTTTTAATTAGCCAGGCATGGATGATGGGATGCACCTATTGTCCCACCTACTTGGTAGAGTCGCTTGAGGCTGCAGAGAGCTATGATCCTGCCACTGCACTTCAGCCAGAGCTACAGAGTGAGACCTTATCTCAAAAAAAAAAGAGAGGATGGGGTACAAAATCTCACCTTCCTCTTCCCCCCACTGTGAGGTTTCCTTTTTCCCTCATACAGAGTGCTCTGGAAGTTCCAGTACATACTAAACCCTCGGCAGGTGTTTGACCTCCTCAAGGATGGTCCTGAGGTGGGGTGAGTAGAGGTTAGGGGCTGTATCACAGTGTTTTTGTGGGTCTCTGTAAGTTGAGAGAGAGCAGGAAAGACTGCATGTTGGGAGAGGAAGGCTAGAGGACAACAAAAGGTCAGAATTCAAAATGGTTCTTTCCCTAGTGCCACTGGGTATCCCATCCTCTGAGCTCTCTGGTCCATCTTTGCTCTGCTTTCAAAGGATGAAGATACCAGCTTTTCACCACCATTGAGGAGTGGCTATAACTCTCTCCATTGTCCTTTTCTCTGCCCTTCATAGGAACCCAAGTCTTTTGACAAAGAGGAAGAGGGTGCTAAGGAATGAGAGACAAGAAGTAATCTGCCTGCCCAGGAGCTGGGTAGCCTTGGACTTGTTATCCTTCTTCATCTTGTCTCTCCTCTCTTGTCCCAGGCTTAAATTCTTCAGGGATGTTCCTGATAGCCGGATTTTGGTGTGTGGTGGAGATGGCACAGTAGGCTGGATTCTAGAGACCATTGGTCAGTGCAGGGAGAGGGTCCAGGAAGGGGACTGGGGCAGTAACCTTGCAGAGCTAACTCCCTCCATCCTTCTCTTCACCTGCTTCCCCAGACAAAACCAACTTGCCTGTTGTGCCTCCTGTTGCTGTGTTGCCCTTGGGTACAGGAAATGATCTGGCTCGATGCCTAAGATGGGGAGGAGGTAAGTTGTTAGAAATTGTTCTGCTGGGGGCTAGAGAGAGTTGGGTAGCAAGGGAAAGACACATAAAGAAGAATCTAGGCATCTGGTGTACAAAGAGTGTTGGGAAAGAAGAGGGGCACGGACATGTAGAAAAAAGTTTTCATTTTTTCTTTTTTTATAGAGACAAGTTCTCACTCTTGCTCAGGCTGGTCTTGAAATCCTGGCCTCAAGGGAGCCTCCCACTTCAGCCTCCCAAAGTGATAGGATTACAGCCACCAGCCACTGCACCTGGACAATTTTAGACATTTTGAAATTATGTATATTCTGTATACATAATTGGTCCAGAAATTGTATATTCTGTAAATGATACTCTAACAACAGTTTTCTGTTAACTCAACCTGAATCATGACAATAAAGAGGTAACTACAAGGGTGGTGCCTGTGGCTCAGTGTGTAGGGCGCTGGCCTCATATACCGAAGGTGGAGGGTTCAAACCCATCCCCAGCAAAACTACAACAAAAAAATAGGCAGGCATTGTGGTGGGAGCCTGTAGTCCCAGCTACTTAGGAGGCTGAGGCAAGAGGATTGCTTGAGCCAAGAGTTGGAGGTTGCTGTGAGCTATGATGTCACAATACTCTACAAAGGGCAGCAAAGTGAGGCTCTGTCTCCAAAAAAAAAAAAAGAAAAGAAAAAGATGAGAATACAGAAGGGAGACTAGTTTAAAGAAGAAAGTTAGTGGCGGTGCCTGTGGCTCAAAGGAGTAAGGTGCCGGCCACATATGCCGGAGGTGGCGGGTTCAAATCCAGCCCCGGCCAAAAAATGCAAAAAAAAAAAAGGAAGAAAGGTAGATTCCTTTTCAGATGAGGTTGTCAATGGAGTGAGCTGGTGTGTGCTGGGTAGTTAGAAATAGGTGTCATAGGCCCCTCATGATGGCTCATGCCTGTGTTCCCAGCACTCTAGGAGGCAGAGGTGGGTGGATCCCATCTCTAAAAAATAGCTGGGCATTGTGCTGGGCGTCTGTAGTCCCAGCTACTCAGGAGGTTGAGGCAAGAGAATCACTTGAGCCCGACAGTTTAAGGTTGCTGTGAGCTGTGACTCCATGAGGGCAACAATGAGACTCTGTCAAAAAAAAAGAAAGAAAGAAAGGGAAAAAAAAAGAGAGAGAAATAGGTGTCCAGAATTTAGGAGAGAAATAGGGCTGGAGATGCATGTTTGAGAATCATCTTCTGGTAGGTGGTAGACATTCTGAGAGTGGATGAGCTTACCCAGGGAAAAAGATAAGAGAAGGTAGACAAAGAAAGCAAGATCCTGGTAAACACCATATTTAACAGTTGATCAGAGGAAGAGCAATTTTTAAAGAAGTGTCCCATTGCTGCTATAACAAATTTCCATAAATAGTAGCTTAATGGAATGCAAATGTCTTATAGTTCTACATGTCATAAGTCCAAAGTGGGTCTCACTGGGCTAAAATCAAGGAGTTGGGAGGGCTGTGTTCTTTTCTTGAGGCTCTAAGGGAAAAATCTCTTGTCTCTTCTACTTTCTAGAGGCTTCTTGCTTTCCTTGGCTCAAGGCTCCCCTCTAAACTGCAATGCTGTCACTCCAACCTCTGCTTCTGTTGTCACATCTTCTTCTATGACTCTTCTCTCCTGCCTTCCTCTTTTACCTATAAGGATCCCTGTGATTATTTTGGGACCATCCAGATAATCTGAGATAATCTCAAAATCTCTAACTTAATCACATTGGCAAAGTCTCTTTTTCCATGTAAGGGAACATACTCACTGATTCTTGGGGAAGGGAGGGTTATTCTGCCTACCACAAAGAATAGTCAGTATACTCTGTAACAAAGTCAGAAAGTATCCTCTGAAACAGTCAGAGAGTATTCTGCCACAAAGAACAGTCAGAGAGTATCCTCTCACATTTCAGAGAAGTTTCAAGTGATAAAATGAGGACTGAATGCAGTGACTCATGCCCATAATTCTAGCACATTGGGAAGCCAAAGTGGGAAGATCCTTTGAGGCTGGTTCAAGACCAGCCTGGGAAAAATAGTGAGACCTTGTATCTACAAAGAAGGAAAAACTTAGCCAGACATGGTGATGTGCACCTGTAGTCCCAGTTACTCCCGAGGCTAAGGTAGGAGGATAGCTTGAGCCAAGGAGTTTGAGGTTGCAATGAACGATGATGACACTACTGCAGTCTATTCCTGGGCAACAGAGCAAGACTCTGTCTCAAACAAGTGGGCCAGGTGCAGTGGCTCACACCTATAATCCTAACACTCTGGGAGCCTGAGGCGGGTGCATTGCCGGAGCTAACGGTTCAAGACCAGCCTGAGCCAGAGTAAGACTCTGTCTCTAAAAATAGCCAGGCATTGTGGTTGGAGCCTGTAGTCCCAGCTACTTGGGAGACTGAGGCAAGAGAATCACTTGAGCCCAAGAGTTTGAGGTTGCTGTAGACATGACGGCACTCTACTAGGGGCAACAAAGTGAGACTCTGTCTCAAAAACAGAGTTGGCTTGGTGCCTGTAGCTCAAGTGGCTAAGGCTCCAGCCACATACACCTAAGGTGGCAGGTTCGAATCCAGCCCGTGCTCACCAAACAACAATAATGGCTGCGACCAAAAAATAGCCGGGCGTTGTGGCGGGCGCCTGTGGTCCCAGCTACTTGGGAGGCTGAAGCAGGAGACTCTCTTGAGCCCAGGAGTTAGAGGTTGCTGTGAGCTGTGATGCT